GACTACTGGTTCCTCCCCAACACTGTGCACAAATCTGTCTAAGTATATCAAGAGATCTGCAACCTTTGCACCATCAAGCAGTTCCCCATGCGGTTCTCCCAGTCATCACAAATCCAACTGTTAAAAAGGAAAAAATTGAGATGTGGCATTTACCTGAGTGTTGGAGAACAAGGGCTATATGCATCTGTATACCTGTTCAAAGTTACTTCAGCTGAGGATTTATTTGAAGCATAAGGCAATGTTGTTACACCAAAGCCACAGGCTAAATGCTCTCTTTGTTCTAAGACATACATCACCAGCACTGTTTTTTGCCAGCAGCACGTACTTACTTGGCACAGCGAACCCAGTTTATGTGCTGGCTCAAGGAGAAAAGAAATTTCTGTCTGTGAACTGTCCATACTTTGACTGTTTTGTCATCAGAGGCTGTAACCAAGGACTGTCCATCACTGGAAAAGTGAACACTTCTTACTGTTGCCGTATGAGCCTTGAACACAGTAGATTCTCCTTTGCTGGGTAGAAAAAGTAATGGATTTTGTTTAAGCTGCACAAGAAGCGAAGATACTATGTTCTAAACAGCCTGAAGCTTGTGTATACTAGACGGTGTTTCTAACCACTGTTTCTATGGGCACTGTATACATTTATGTTAGAAGGAAGTTGTTGACCTAGACTAAGCAGACAAGTGTTTAGGAAGGATACAAAATATAGCACTTCAAACAGATCTTTTTTCTTTTTTTTTTTTAATTTTAGCTAGCTAGTCTAGCCCATCTTATCTTGAGACAATTTACATTGGTGTTTTCTATACAGAGGTAAGAAAAGAGACATTTTTAATTAGCAAAAATCAAAGATCCTGCTAAAAGGGGACTGTTTATATCAATCAGTATATAAAGACAAGAACAATAAAAATTCTGGACCAACATCAGGTCTTAACTGTCATACCAATGAGGACAAGGTATACAAAGGAGAGTTTCAATTACAGTTAGATAAACTATTACTGCTACCAAACAGGAATGTGTCTAGGATAGATCACATAACAATACAACAGCAGACAGTTCAGCTGCATGTTTCCCACCCAGCATTTGAAAAATACACGATTGTCACACTTCTGGTATTTCTGATTAAAAGTACCTAAGTAAGAATAATTTTAAAACATTAAGTAGCTACAGAATTTATTATTACGTTCCATTAGATCTTCCTCTCACCCGCATTTTCAAAGTAGTATGGAAGGTATGTTTCTGGCAGACAGAAGACCGCAGGAAGGAATGCCAAGTATTTCAAAGATTCAGTAGGTGCATGGTAGGCTTACTCTCTAGTATAGGGTGGACTAGCAATAGCACAAAGCTGAACAATCAAAGAGCTCAAGCCAAGAGCTGAATGAGTGGTGGTGGGGTTTCCTCGTTACAGCTAACAACGGATCAGCTACCTGTTACTGGTATCAGAAAGCTGGGTTCTGTTACCAGATTCCTGAACCCCTGGTTTTTAATAGACAAGGGATCCTGCAGAGGGAATGCATTCAGGCTCTGGGAAGAGACAGAATTCTCCTTTGTTTCAACAACAAACAACAATCTGACAGGCTCCAAAATAAATCCCACCCAGTCCTAACCTATCAGAAGACTGGTGGCTACAACTGGTGACCTTAAGTCTGAAAGGTTGACAAGGAAAAGGGAGTTCTGGATCTAAATGCAACATAGACTATCCTCTAGTTTTAAAAAGCCTACAGGTAACTAACTATTCCTTCTGCCAACTGAGAGAGCTTTACCTGGCATTTAAATTAGCCATGTGAACTGGCAACATTTGTAAACATGGTTCAACAAATCTAAGGTCCTGATCCTGTAATCTATTCCCTGTAGACAAACTCAGCAGCCATATGCAGCCCCAGTTAACTCAAATGGAGTTGACCTGCTGAGAAAAGTTTGCACAGGGATGTAAAAGGTTAACCAGTAAGCCTCACCCAGTTAAGTGGTAGGGGCTGGAGCAGCTGCTCACACATCCCGGGCATACAGCTGCTTCACAAGGCCCACAGCAGGCAGAAGTTGCTCTGGCCTCCCACCCCTGCAAGTCACATGCTAAGGCTCCCGAGAAGCCAGCTGCAGAGCCCACAGTGCAGCCCCTGCTGCCTTGCTCCCAAGGAGGCAGTTTCACTGCAGGCTCTGCAGTATAAAGCTTATTGCAGAGCTCACAATCCATGTAACCACTAAGATTTTTAGCAGGTGTCATGAATCATGCGTAGCGTGAATGGTTAGTACGAGTGCATGATTGAATCTACAGTAAATGAGCTGAAGAGAGGTTATGCTGAGGTCCAGGCAAGAGCCCCAGAGGATTATGGACTTGTTTACAACTTTAAGAAAAAGGACTGTGAAATAAAAGAAATGTATATGCGTGCTGAGGCAGCATTCCCAGCATTGCCAGATAAGAAAAAGTAACTAGGGAAGAATCTAACCAAGGACAGATCATTGTTTCACACTCTTGGTGAGGCAAGCGGTGCAAAAACCAGATATTTCTGGATCGGTCATGGACACACCAGTAAGAAGAAGGGGGTGTCACTAATGTACATCACCCCATCTGGACCGCGTGTAACCAGTGGATGGCATTTCACCAGACTGGGCCCTGCCAAGAGGATACATACCACAACATTTTCCCCCACAAGTTGGAGTCCATTGATTCGGCATATTGGGGTGATGTGCATGTCGGACTTGCACCTCAAACAAATTAACCAACATTACCTGGGGTCTGGCCAGCCCCGGAGGGTGAGTGTGAGTGTATTCAATTGAATTAAGAATTAGGCTGCTAAATTGGGTTAAAGCTTAGATGTAGATTGTTAATTATTCCATTTAAATATTGCTTTTAATGCCTTTAATGTCTTTTAATGTTATTTTAATTACTTAGTACTAAATATATATACACATACAGTGCTTTTAAAATTGCTCCTGAATTGCCTGCAATAAAACTTGTTAAAAGTATGTTTAAGATACTGTTTAAGACTCTTTCGTTCTGTAAATGCTGAACCAAATGAGTAGTGAGATACGGCTTGATCAACCGGATCATAGCGCCCCCTTGTGACACAGGTGCACAGTAACTAGTTTGCAGGGGCCCCAAGTATTTTACCAGGAGCTCCTTTCTCCATCTAGTGCAGATTTCTGCTTCTTTAGAACTTGACATGATGGAGCTGATTACAAGAGCTCATTGGTTCACACCTGAGAACGTCCAGGGCAGTCAGTAGCCAGCCCTTCTTGGTAAGCCCATTAATTCCCTGATCTTGCCATGCTTAATCGATAATTAGGTTGGATCTCCAGACAATGTCACAATAATCATTGTAAACTATCATTATAAGGGTACTAAAAGTCTGTCATTGAGTTTAAAGTCTTTATTTTATGAATTTATTTTCAAAACCCATGCATTAGAGAACAGGATAAGTGGGATCAAGGAAGATCTGATGAGAAAGAAAGAAGAAATGAATCTCAAAATGGATAAAATCCCTATTTTTAGAGCAAGATATACAAACGTTAACTTGGTATTGTAAATTTTTATGTTATCAAGACCTCACACAGCATACTGTTAACAGCAATGCTACTGACTTGTGTAGCAAGTTACTCTCAAGACTACCATTACTGCTTTTTAAGTTCTCCCCTTAATAAGAGATTGCATTGCATCTACTTGACTACATTTAATCAAGCTGTGAATTTAACACACTAAAAAGACTTAACCAAAAACATCAAGACTGAGCATAGTTATAGAAGATCAGCGCTGATAAGAGCTACACAATCCAACAGTACATAATGAGCTGCTTCAAAACAGCCACAAGTATAATAATTCCTTTTCCACTCTAGCGCACTTCTGAGGGTGCATCTATACAACAGGGCTTCACTCAAAATAAGCTTATTTCAAAATAACTTATTTTGAAATTGGGAGCATCTACACAGAACTTATTTTGAAATAGAGCACACTTCCTCTGACTTCGCTTACTCCTCATACAATGAGGGTTACAGGAATCAGAGTAAAAAGTCCTCCAGCTTGACAGTATTTCAAAATAATTGCCTGCAGTATAGAAACTAAGTTATTTCAAAATAACGCTAATTATTTCGAAATAATGTTGCTGTGTAGACCTACCCTGAGATGGCAACCACACACACAGCTTCAATCACTGAACTAATGTCTTCAACGGTATTGAGGTGATATCATCTGGCATTCATTTACATTCAGTTTTTCCACAAAATTTACTTTTTCACTTCCAAGAACTCCTATAAGTGGTTTTTTTTTTTGTAGACTATGTTTTCAGGATTACATATATTAGCATCTTTTTCACTTCCACTCCTATAAGTGGTTTTTTTTTGTAGACTATGTTTTCAGGATTACATATATTAGCAGTCAGGTTCTGGAAGTAGAAGAAACTGTCACTCTCTTTTTTCAGTCTAGATTAAGATTTAGCCTCAATGTTCATCCATCTAGTGTAATTTATCTAGAGTCTTTAAATATACATGTTTTTATATGTAAGTGTGTCATTTCTTCCAGGGAAGTTCCACTAAGTAGAAATTAAGATAACTGACATTGCAATCTGCATATTTTCATCCTGCTTTACGGTAAGCGTAGTTTAACTTTATCCAATTTCACTGTCAATTAGCTCTATTGTACAGTCACATTATCATTATGAAGACATAATAGTATCTCCATATTAAAGCATAAATTGAGATTTGAATTAAAAGCAAGGGTTACACTATTTCTATATAACAAGTTTATGCTCCCTACATGTATAACGTACTCTGTGTACAGAACAAAAATTTACAAGACAGCCTATAGTTTATAAATAAGAGGCTTTTTAAAAAAAAAAAAAAAAAAAAAAAAAAAAAAGTGGGTCCCTTGAGATTTTTTTTTTGGCATGTCTAATCTTTTTTTGTATTCCCCAGCAAATAGATTCTGGGATTTTTTTTAAATCTGACTCACTTCTAGATTGTAGCAAGAACTAGGACAGTCTAATTTAGGCTGTGTTAAACAAAAATACAATTACTCATAGCTATTAGACATTCCAACAAAAAGAAACGATTAATTTTAGAATGTCTTCCCTGCTTCCTGGGGCCCTGTGTTTAGTTTAGACTGCTGAAGAGACCCACCACAAGCCTGTTTCCTTCTCAGGGCCCAAACCCCCTGTTTCTTTAGTCTTTTAACAGCCCTTCCCAGAGAGCCACTCTTTCACAGCTATCTGCGCTGGAATCCTCACGCTGGCTGCCACATGGAGGGGAAATATCATTTCTCCAGTTTAACATTGGAGTCTGGCAAAATGAGGGAGGCGCTCTCAGCTCCACACAGAAGTCCAACAGATACTAGTTGTAGAAAAAGTAAAGGTGCATACAGAAGTAGGATGCGAATCCATATTGCATGCAGGCCTCTGCCACTTACAGTGTATTTTAGTTGGATAACTAGTAGATGGGCCTGCTCAGAGCCAATATACTTGGATCACTGTGAACCCACCAGTACAGAGACAGGATTGTTTAGACAAATGGTAAAAATGCTCAGCAGCTTCCAGATAAGGGTCTCAAAGCATGTTACAAACAGAAAACTAAGTCTTCCAATCTTCCAGTTAAGTAGGGCATTATCACAATTTTAGAAGTGATGAAAATTGAGGCACAGAAAGTATAAGGTCCCATGCAAATCTAGGACAGCATTAAAAATGGAATTCAGCTCTCCCAGCTTCAAGGCCTTTGTTTTAACCATATATCAATCACTCTGCTATTAATGCAGAGGTGGGCAATAATTTGGAGGGGGGGGGCATAAGATTTTGTTAAGTGGTCAAGAGCCACTTTTCTATGGAGGGGGTGCCGGTTAGATGGAGGTTGGGTTAGAAGGGAGCTTGGGGTAGGAGACTGGGGTACAGGAGAGGATGTGGGGTCTGAGAGGGAGTTGTGATCTGGGGTAGGGGATTGTGGTGCAGGGTCAGAGAGGGGGTGTGTGTGCAGGAGAGGATTCTGCCTGGGGCAAGAAGTTGCAACCTGGGGCAGGTGGGCAAGAGGATGTAGAGAAGGAGGATGTAGAGAAGGTAGGGGTGGTGAACTGGGACAGAGTTGGGGTGCAGGAGGGAGCCAATGGGAGCTGCAACTATTGTGCTGGGGTGGGGGCAGCGCATGAAGTCTCCCCCCACAAGGGACATGCTCCCAGCAGCTGCCCACTTTGAACAGCCTGGGGCTGCAGCAGGCAGGAAACCTGCCTGAAAGTCCCAGCGGGCAGTACATCATAGCCAAAGGCTTGGCAGGCCAGATCTGGCACACGGGCCATACTTTGCCACCTCTGTATTAATGGAACAGGAGTTTACTATTAACCTTTAGATCAGCAATTAAAATTTAAAAACTAGATGCCGTGGGGAAAAAAAAGACACCTATTGTTTGGTACAACTACAGAAAGTCAGAAATCTAACTTCTAGAACGGCTGTCTATAATGTTTTGCTCTGGCACTAACAAAGAGGACTAATCAGCCATGTATCAGAGGGGTAGCCGTGTTAGTCTGAATCTGCAAAAGCGGCGAGGAGTCCTGTGGCACCTTATAGACTAACTGAAGTGTAGGAGCATAAGCTTTCGTGGGCAAAGGCCCACGAAAGCTTATGCTCCTACACTTCAGTTAGTCTATAAGGTGCCACAGGACTCCTCGCCGCTTTTGCAGATTCAGACTAACACGGCTACCCCTCTGATACATTCAGCCATGGAATGTGAACTGGGAGGGACACCAGTAGGTCACTATTTAAGTACAGTACTAGAGCTGTGTCAGGAAGCTTACCCTGATATTATCTGTGCTGTACTTCTGCGGACAAAGGATTTCAGTCGCTAGGACTAATAAGATCACATCTTATTCGGGATTAAATTAATTTTATGCAAGAGTCCTATGCAAAATGGCTGTTGCATCACCCAATAATCTTTCCTTTAGCAAACAACAGATTCTCGACCCACACAATAGAGCACTCTTGCTAGTGGAAACTGTACACCCCAACTTAGCATAAGAGTTAGGAAGCAGGATATACTTACACACTTGGAACCCACAAACGGACAGTTTTGTCTCTAGAGCCTGAGGCCACCAGATGGCCTGAAGGTGAAAATTGAACACACATCACTGCATCTTTGTGACCCACAAAACGATAGGCTCTCATCTGGGGTCTCATACTCCAAATCATCAAGCATGAATCCATAGAACCACTTGCTAAATTTAGAGGAAAAAGACTCACGTTAGTATCTTCCCCGGGTACACTGGAACAATCACATACACTAAAGCGATGTGCACAGATTTCAGCCCGCGCCAACAATAGTTCCCTTCACTGAATTAAGACCTTTGTTAACCCTTAAGTACCACTACATACTGTACATTTCATTAACAATTCAAACCAAGCATCTAGAATTGCTTTTTAACTGAAAGTAGGCATGGCAACCCAAGATAAGAGTTAGATCAGGTAAGCCTGTTATTGCTGAAGACAATAAAATACAAACATTGTGAGAGATACTTCAATAATATGCAACACACACATGTACAGAGGGTCCAAAATTTTGAGGCTCAGTGTCTCATCCAGAAGATTTTTTTCTTTTTGTAGAGCAAACAGCAGTCACCCATTTACATTTGGATAATTAACCAAGGAGATGCTGGACTTATCTGATTTGTGTAAATTAGCAACATATAGAAAAAAACCACACTCATGACAGTGTTTTGTGCCCCACGATACCAGCTTTTCTACGATTACCTAGATGTCTTTCTTGGGCAGGGTTTCAGATGAATGTTCTCAGCTTTCTCTGGGCTACTGACCCTGATGA